CCCATCTAAAAAACCCATGAGTTAAAAAACCCAAGGCAACATGGGTTTAGAACAGGTCGCTCCTGTCTGTCTCAACTATTGGATCACTATGACAAGGTCCTAGATGCACTAGAAGACAAAAAGAATGCAGATGTAATATATACAGACTTTGCAAAAGCCTTCGACAAGTGTGACCATGGCGTAATAGCGCACAAAATGCGTGCTAAAGGAATAACAGGAAAAGTCGGTTGATGGATCTATAATTTCCTCACTAACAGAACACAGAGAGTAGTAGTCAACAGAGTAATGTCCGAGGCAGGCACGGTGAAAAGCTCTGTTCCACAAGGCACAGTACTCGCTCCCATCTTGTTCCTCATCCTCATATCTGACATAGACAAGGATGTCAGCCACAGCACCGTGTCTTCCTTTCCCACCCGAATCTGCATGACAGTGTCTTCCATTGCAGACACTGCAAGGCTCCAGGCAGAAATCAACCAAATCTTTCAGTGGGCTGCAGAAAACAATATGAAGTTCAACGATGAGAAATTTCTATTACTCAGATATGGTAAACACGAGGAAATTAAATCTTCATCAGAGTACAAAACAAATTCTGGCCACAAAAAAGAGCGAAACACCAATGTCAAAGACCTCGGAGTGATCATGTCGGAGGATCTCACCTTCAAGGACCATAACATTGTATCGATCGCATCTGCTAGAAAAATGACAGGATGGATAATGAGAACCTTCAAAACGAGGGATGCCAAGCCCATGATGACACTCTTCAGGTCATTTGTTCTATCTAGGCTGGAATATTGCTGCACACTAACAGCACCTTTCAAGGCAGGTGAAATTGCTGACCTAGAAAATGTACAGAGAACCTTCATGGCGCGCATAACGGAGATAAAAACACCTCAATTACTGGGAGCGCTTGAGGTTCCTGAACCTGTATTCCCTGGAACGCAGGCGGGAGAGATACATGATTATATACCACCCGGAAAATCCTAGAGGGAGTAGTACCGAACTTGCACACGAAAATCACACACTACGAAAGCAAAAGACTTGGCAGACGATGCAACATCCCCCCAATGAAAAGCAGGGGTGTCACCCAGCACGTTAAGAGACCATACAATAAGTGCCAGGGGCCCGAGACTGTTCAACTGCCTCCCAGCATACATAAGGGGGATTACCAACAGACCCCTGGCAGTCTTCAAGCTGGCACTGGACAAGCACCTAAAGTCAGTTCCTGATCAGCCGGGCTGTGGCTCGTACGTTGGTTTGCGTGCAGCCAGCAGTAACAGCCTGGTTGATAAGGCTCTGATCCACCAGGAGGCCTGGTCACAGACCGGGCCGCGGGGGCGTTGACCCCTGGAACTCTCTCCAGGTAAACTCCAGTTACATTGCGTTTACTGTAATTTTTAATTCTGTTAGGGATTATCTTTGTGGATTGACATGGGGGAAATTATGGCCTTAATTATCTTAAAGCTTAACACCTTCACCTAAATAAATGGAGCATAAGGCGATGAAAGTACCACACAGGGTAGTACGTCTTGTCTTAGACATAACGTAATTAAGTTATGAAGAAAATTTTTCCTCGTTACGCTGTGAAGGCGCACGCACGCACGCCCCTTGGTATATATAACTTAAATCTGAATGTACCGTATTAACTACTTGTTCATTATAAATCTTCATAAGGTTTGATTATTCTGCCCTTAAAGGGTAATTTTCAAATACAATTCTTTGCTGCTACGTAATAATAATGCTAAGTATTCAAATAAATAATGTTGACCCAGAGGGGTGCGTATTATAAGATGGAGTATTATGTTGTCAGGGTGGAGATGGAGGATGCGAACCTGCCCACCAGGAAGTTTGGTCAGTGTACAGACATCAGCTACCAGGTGACTGGCATTCACAGCAACAGACTAGAGCCAAAGTGTGGGCTTCTCACCGGAGATAAATGTGAGTATACACACACACACACACACACACACACACACACACACATGCAGATGGAGAGGGTGATAGGTCGAATGCTGAGGCACAACCAGGCTATCAAGAGCCACTGGAAAAATCAAGGGAGAAACTGACCACATACAGGCAGGATCCAGAGTCACAGAGGGTGAGGCAATGGGAGGAAGAAAGGGCAAAATCAGTGTTTATCCATGGGCTTCAGGAGAGAGAGGAAAGGACACACACTGAAAGGCAGCAGGAAGAAAGAAAGGAGATTGAGAAAATCATCACGGAAATAGGTGAAGAGATGGACGAGATTGTAAATTTTCAGAGAATAGGGGGGTACTCGAAGGGGAGAAAAACCGACCAATCAAGCTGATTCTCAGGACGGAAACAGTGTGGAACAGGATCCTCCAAGAGAAACCACGATTGAAATACTCGGAAGAGTACAAGAGGGTGTTCCTAGACAGAGACAGAACAAAATCAGAACGACAGCAGCTGCGGGAGAGGACAAAAAAGCGAAAGGAGCTAGGAAAAGAGACAAGGAGGGAACCAGCAGAGGTCAGTCAGAGCAGAACAGAACAGCAAGGGCAAGCACACACACAACTGTTCTCAGAACCATACAACCTATCACACCATCCCAACACACACTACAATCCATACCCACAGCCTCCACCAACACCGAGCTATAGAATCCCACAGTATGCCACCAGGTCTCCCACCCTCACAGGCCCCCCAAACCACAGTGTTGGAAAGGAAACTGAAGGTATGGTACACAAACGCTGATGGAATAACAAATAAGTGGGAGGAGTGGCATGAAAGAGTCAAAGAAGCATCACCGGACATCATAGCTCTCACAGAAACCAAGCTTACAGGTATGATAACAGATGCCATTTTTCCAACGGGATACCAAATCCTGAGGAAAGACAGAGGGAACAGGGGGGGTGGAGGGAGTGGCGTTGCTGATCAAAAATCGCTGGAATTTTGATGAGCTGGAGAGAGGAGACAGCGGAGAAGAAAGTGATTACATAGTGGGAACACTTCACTCTGGAGGTCCCAAGGTGGTAATAGCAGTGATGTATAACCCACCACAGAAACAGCAGGAGGCCAAGGCAAGAGTACGACAAAGCAATAGAGCAATGGTTGACACACTGGCTAGAGTGGCCAGAAGAGCTCATGCATGCAGGGCAAAGCTCCTGATCATGGGTGACTTTAACCACAAGGAGATCGATTGGGAGAACTTGGATCCACATGGGGGCCAAGATACATGGAGGGCTAAGATGATGGAGGTGGTACTGGAAAACTTCATGTGCCAACACGTAAGGGACACTACAAGAGAGAGAGGAGAGGATGAACCAGCAAGGCTGGACTTAGTATTCACCTTGAGTAGTGCAGATATCGAGGACATCACATATGAAAGACCCCTTGGGGCCAGTGACCATGTGGTTTTAAGCTTCGAATACACAGTAGAGCTACAAGTGGAGGAAGAAGCAGGAAGGCCAGGACGAATGAAGCCAAACTACAAGAAAGGGGACTACACAGGAATGAGGAACTACCTGAACGGGGTTCAGTGGGACAGAGAACTGGCAGGGAAGCCAGTTAATGAGATGATGGAATATGTAGCAACAAAATGCAAGGAGGCTGAGGAGAGGTTTGTACCCAAGGGTAACAGGATTAATGAAAAAGCCAGGATGAGCCCATGGTTTACCCAAAGGTGCAGGGAGGCAAAAACCAAGTGTACTCACCTAGTTGAGGTTGCGGGGGTCGAGTCCGAGCTCCTGGCCCCGCCTCTTCACTGATCGCTACTAGGTCACTCTCCCTGAGCCGTGAGCTTTATCATACCTCTGCTTAAAGCTATGTATGGATCCTGCCTCCACTACATCGCTTCCCAAACTATTCCACTTACTGACTACTCTGTGGCTGAAGAAATACTTCCTAACATCCCTGTGATTCATCTGTGTCTTCAGCTTCCAACTGTGTCCCCTTGTTACTGTGTCCAATCTCTGGAACATCCTGTCTTTGTCCACCTTGTCAATTCCTCTCAGTATTTTGTATGTCGTTATCATGTCCCCCTATCTCTCCTGTCCTCCAGTGTCGTCAGGTTGATTTCCCTTAACCTCTCTCGTAGGACATACCTCTTAGCTCTGGACTAGTCTTGTTGCAAACCTTTGCACTTTCTCTAGTTTCTTCACGTGCTTGGCTAGGTGTGGGTTCCAAACTGGTGCCGCATACTCCAATATGGGCCTAACATACACGGTGTACAGGGTCCTGAATGATTCCTTATTAAGATGTCGGAATGCTGTTCTGAGGGTTTGCTAGGCGCCCATATGCTGCAGCAGTTATTGGTTGATGTGCGCTTCAGGAGATGTGCCTGGTGTTATACTCACCCCAAGATCTTTTTCCTTGAGTGAGGTTTGTAGTCTCTGACCCCCTAGACTGTACTCCGTCTGTGGCCTTCTTTGCCCTTCCCCAATCTTCATGACTTTGCACTTGGTGGATTGAACTCCAGGAGCCAATTGCTAGACCAGGTCTGCAGCCTGTCCAGATCCCTTTGTAGTTCTGCCTGGTCTTCGATCGAGTGTATTCTTCTCATCAACTTCACGTCATCTGCAAACAGGGACACCTCAGAGTCTATTCCTTCCGTCATGTCGTTCACAAATACCAGAAACAGCACTGGTCCTAGGACTGACCCCTGCGGGACCCCGCTGTCACAGGTGCCCACTCTGACACCTCGCCACGTACCATGACTCGCTGCTGTCTTCCTGACAAGTATTCCCTGATCCATTGTAGTGCCTTCCCTGTTATCCCTGCTTGGTCCCCAGTTTTTGCACCAATCTCTCGTGTGGAACTGTGTCAAACGCCTTCTTGCAGTCCAAGAAAATGCAATCCACCCACCCCTCTCTCTCTTGTCTTACTGCTGTCACCATGTCTAGAACTCCAGTAGGTTTGTGACACAGGATTTTCCCGTCCCTGAAACCATGTTGGCTCCCTGTTGATGAGATCATTCCTTTCTAGGTGTTCCACCACTCTTCTCCTGATAATCTTCTCCATGATTTTGCATACTATACATGTCAGTGACACTGGTCTGTAGTTTAATGCTTCATGTCTGTCTCCTTTTTTAAAGATTGGGACTACATTTGCTGTCTTCCATGCCTCAGGCAATCTCCCTGTTTCGATAAAATGTATTGAATATTGTTGTTAGGGTACACATAGCGCCTCTGCTCCCTCTCTCAATACCCATGGGGAGATGTTATCTGGCCCCATTGCCTTTGAGGTATCTAGCTCACTCAGAAGCCTCTTCACTTCTTCCTCGGTTGTGTGCTAGGGAATGGAAGAAATATAGAAGGCAAAGGACCCAGGAGAATAAGGAGAACAGTCGTAGAGCCAGAAACGAATATGCACAGATAAGAAGGGAGGCCCAAAGACAATATGAAAATGACATAGCAGCGAAAGCCAAATCTGACCCGAAACTGTTGTACAGCCACATCAGGAGGAAAACAACAGTCAAGGACCAGGTAATCAGGCTAAGGAAGGAAGGAGGAGAGACAACAAGAAATGACCGTGAAGTATGTGAAGAACTCAACAAGAGATTCAAAGAAGTGTTCACAGAGGAGACAGAAGGGACTCCAAAAGACGGAGAGGTGGGGCACACCACCAAGTGCTGGGCACAGTGCAAAACAACCGAGGAAGAATGAAGAGGCTTCTGAGTGAGCTAGATACCTCAAAGGCAATGGGGCCAGATAACATCTCCCCATGGGTATTGAGTTCAATGACATGGTGACAGCAGTAAGACAAGAAGAGAGGGGTGGGGGGATGCATTTTCTTGGACTGCAAGAAGGCGTTTGACACAGTTCCACACAAGAGATTGGTGCAAAAACTGGAGGACCAAGCAGGGATAACAGGGGAAAGGGACTACAATGGATCAGGGAATACTTGTCAGGAAGACAGCAGCGGTCATGGTACGTGGCGAGGTGTCAGAGTGGGCACCTGTGACCAGCGGGGTCCCGCAGGGGTCAGTCCTAGGACCAGTGCTGTTTCTGGTATTTGTGAATGACATGACGGAAGGAATAGACTCTGAGGTGTCTCTGTTTGCAGATGACGTGAAGTTGATGAGAAAATTCACTCGATCGAAGACCAGGCAGAACTACAAAGGGATCTGGACAGGCTGCAGACCTGGTCCAGCAATTGGCTCCTGGAGTTCAATCCCACCAAGTGCAAAGTCATGAAGATTGGGGAAGGGCAAAGAAGGCCGCAGACGGAGTACAGTCTAGGGGGTCAGAGACTACAAACCTCACTCAAGGAAAAAGATTTTGGGGTGAGTATAACACCAGGCACATCTCCTGAAGCGCACATAAACCCAAATAACTGCTGCAGCATAGGGCCCCTAGCAAACCTCAGAACAGCATTCGACATCTTAATAAGGAATCATCCGGCCCCTTTTACACCGTGTATGTTAGGCCCATATTGGAGTATGCGGCACCATTTTGGGAAACCCCCACCCCTAGCCAAGCACGTGAAGAAATAGAGAAAGTGCAAGGTTTGCAACAAGACTAGCCCCAGAGCTAAGAGGTATGTCCTACGAGGAGAGGTTAAGGGAAATCAACCTGACGACACGGGAAAGGACAGGAGAATAGGGGGGACATGATAACGACATACAAAATACTGAGAGGAATTGACAAGGTGGACAAAGACAGGATGTTCCAGAGATTGGACACAGTAACAAGGGGACACAGTTGGAAGCTGAAGACACAGATGAATCACGGGGATGTTAGGAATTTATTTCTTCAGCCACAGAGTAGTCAGTAAGTGGAATAGTTTGGGAAGCGATGTAGTGGAGGCAGGATCCATACATAGCTTTAAGCAGAGGTATGATAAAGCTCACGGCTCAGGGAGAGTGACCTAGTAGCGATCAGTGAAGAGGCGGGGCCAGGAGCTCGGACTCGACCCCTGCAACCACAAATAGGTGAGTACACACACACACACACACACACACACAACACACACACACACACACACACACACCATTCTCCCCGGATCACAGTTTTAGAAAAGAAGTTGAAGGGTTGCTACACGAACGCGGATGGAATAACGAATGTGAGGAGTGGCATGAAAGACTCGAGGAGACGTCCCCAGATACCATAGCAGTCACCAAAACAAAACTCACTGGGACCATAACAGACTCACTCAATCTTCCCACCCGGATATCAATCAGACCCTGAAGAAAGATAGAGGTCGAGGGGGGAGGAGGGGTTACACTGCTCATTGAAAACCGATGGGGATTTCAGGAAATGGAAGGAATGGACGAGATTGGGGAAAAGGATTACGTAGATACAATTCAGTCTGGGGAACATAAGGTAGCCATTGCAATGATGTATAACCTGCCACAGAGGAGGCCAAGAGAGGAATATGAAGAGAGCAACAGAACAACAGTGAACACACTAGCTGAGGTGGCCTTTAAGAGCTCACTCGAATAGAGCAAATTTACTGGTTATGGGTAATGTCAACCACAGGGGGATTGATTGGGAAAACCTGGAGCCACATGGGGGTTTTGAAGCATGGAGAACCAAGATGATGGATGTGGTACTGGAAAACCTCATGCACCAACATGTTAGGGACACTACCAGAGAGAGAGGGGAGGACGAACCAGTAAGACTGGACCTTGTGTTCACCCTGAATAGCTATCCATGTTTACAGCATCTAACAAGACACTTATTTTCTCTAACCACATGACCTGTTATAAACGATTAGAAAAAGCTTAGGGCTGACTTTTTATTTCTTATAATTTCATACTTGACATCTCAGAAATTCTCCTACCCCATATGGGTAATATGGTGATGATGGTAGGTGGGGTTGGCACCGACCACTAACCCAATCTAAGGGTAACCATGGACGGTGACACCTACACTACTCTGAGAAATCTCTCCCTGCTTTGGTTTCTCCCTTGCAACATTGCACAGCTCCTGATGATGCACTGAGAAGTGTGAAAGTACTTGAGCTAAATATTTCCACCCCCACCCATATATATATATATATATATATATATATATATATATACATATATATATATATATATATATATATATATATATATATATATATATTATATATATTATATATATATATATATATATATATATATATATATACATGTATGTATGTATATATGTATGTATATATATGGATGATTTTTAAGAAACTTATTTTCCTCCCTGACAGATATATATGACTTTAGGGTGCCAGATTTAATGATCCATGTGAATGCCAGCCAGCCAGCCAGTGCCATGTGGAGCATGAAAGTAACACAGATCCCCTGTAGTGAATACTCCGATGAGGACGCTACTGGCATCTCTGGGGGAAGTGTTGACATCGGCACTGTAGGAGGCTCCGGAGGAGGCACCGGAGGTGGCGCTGGCAGTGTTCCAGGTAATTACAGCAACACCGCTGGTAAATTTAACCATAATGTTACAGAAGATAGATATTTAGCTTGAAGGGTCTGATTAGATGGGGGTGAGAAATACAGTCGTAATTATATTCAGCTGTTGAATGTATAACAATGATTGTGTTCCCACCCCCCTCATTGAGGTCACTGTGCCTTGATGAGACAGGGCCATCATGGTGAAATATATCTGAAATAAATCCAAAAATAAGATTGTTCTCACTGGCCCAACCGTGCAGCTCAGCTTACAGTTCAGAGGAAACAACATGGATGTTAAAAATATTGTTTGTACCGAAGATTGTGAGCCTTGCATTATGAAAAAATATATATCTAGATAAACAAGAAAGACTGATTATGCAAAAAAATATTTACCGGTTGCGCATAGTTATTTAGGAATTACTGATAAACTTTATTTTTTTGCTGTAGAGCCAAATTATTTGTTCACATATAATTTCCTGATGCTTTTTTTTCATATTGCATTTAAAATACTAATATTACCACTGCTACTACCAATAATAATAATGTTGAATAGCTGACTTATTTATTAACTAAATTTATAGTTTGCTAAAAGACGGGGAGAAAGAGAAGAAAGTATATGGAACAGAGTAGAAGGTAGGTGGGTATTTGTTTTTCATGGGAAAACAGGACCATTACAGGTAATGCTGGTCAGTCACCTGACGACCCACTCACTGGAGCTGTTGCTTGTGACAGACGGTTTAACAGAATACCTTTCTGTCTATACCTGCTAAAGCTTAAGTAAAGTTTTTGTGAATTATTATTATTATTATTATTATTATTATTATTTGAACTATCTGCAGGAGGTTTCCAGAACTTTACCTGAATTATTACCTGCAAGTAATTTGGGTGAGGTAAGTGGGACTTAGTCACAGTAGGTCGCCAAACTGTCACTCCTTCGAACCCCACTCCCTACCACTCTCACGAAAAGTTAGAACTGACATTAAATTAATAATTACAATATTAAACATTAATACCAGTATTGGTAAATTATAAAATAATGTGGATTGTATATGATTAGGCTTGCTGGTTACACAAAATAAATTGGTGTTAATACTTACCATTTAATTACTGGAAGACAATGCTGATGAAACACACCCTAACCTTACCGTAGCAGCTAGAATTTACGATGGCCAACCCAAAAACTACTGTACGTTATGGGTAAGCATCACTTACCTGAGGTGTGCTCCCAGGAGAATTGGTGTCCTCTATTTTTCTGTTCTAGGTACCGAATTTTAAGGGTTTTTCACACTCCCAATTCTTCAGCAGGGAACATTAACACAGGTTCCTATTACAAATTCAGGCCGAAAAACCCCAATTGACCTTCGAGAACACCTGATTGCATTACACAATTCAGTCCAGTGATCACACATTAAATTCAGTATGGCATCTCTCCCTCTCTGTGGCGTCACTCCCTCACTCAAAATTTCTCAAAGGGTCCAAATAGCATCACATTTTAATACTCAATTATTATATTATTCATTTATATGCTCTACATTTAGGAAATTGTGTAAAAAAAAAATCCACAGAAGTCTAGATATTTGATGTTAAGACAGTCGGCACACTAGCATCTATAAAAGCAGGTGAAATTTCAAAACTGGAGCCTTGAACAGTGATTACCGGATCTAGATTTTTCTGCTGAACACAGTCCTGTTCTGTTTGTGTATCAAAACTTTTTATTGCCTTTATCTATGTGGTATTTTATAATTGGATTTTTTTTATTGATAGAGGACAGTCTAACCGAACTAAACCTAACCTACCCTAAATAAATTCAATCGAGAATTTGCGGCAAACCACATGTGAGTAATGGACATAGATATCCGAGGATTGGTTGTGAGGGCAAGTGATGCTCTCACCACTGTGTTCGTGTTAGACATAGACTGGCACGTGCTCTTGTCATGGAGAGGCAACAATATCACTCTGAAAAATCAGGTTTTGTTCACAATCCAACATTTTTTGACTGAGTCCCATTTGTCAGAGAGCACATGGACTTAACTCCTTTATATGCTTGCACTGTCCACATGTCTCTATAAGCCTAACCTTTATTTCAAATTCACTCTGTGACTTCTTAACTGAAATTGGTTTACTGAACTACGGCTTCCTCCATTCACCCTTGTACTCTCCCTCCACGCTTCTGTCCTCTAACATCAGCACCACTTCAATCAAAGTTGAATAACTCGCCTGGGTTCAGTGACTTTTGCGAATATAATAATACAAAAAATCACCAGTTGCCCATGAAAAATTTTAGAGGATGGTTCTATACCGTCTTCTCAATGAAATTAAAACATTTCCGTCTCCGCTGTTTCATGGCTTCATGCAAGGAATAAGTGTGCATCATTGCATAACTGCTTTCCTCGCCCTGCACACAGACAGCTACAACAACTTCCTTGATCATAAGGCTGCCTTTGATGTTGCCAGCCGACATGCCATCCTAAGTGAACCTGCCAGAATTGATGGTGGATGGCTTCTCCGCTGGATTAGCGATTTTCTGTTCAACAGTAAGTCATCTGTGCTATTGCATGGGCATAGAAGAGCTTGGCTAATAATGGAACTTAGTGCACCATAAGGTGTCTCACTTCCATTTTAGTTAATTATCTAATCAATGTTTTACTAAATTATTTGCCTATGCAACCCAGTCATAATATAATTAGCTTTGCTGATGTAATTATTCACACCGCTGGATACACCAACACTCAGAGCATCTATGACCAAGTGTCAAACCCAGGTTTAATCACCTCAGAAGAAAATTGAAAAGACAGTACTACTCCCTCCCTTCCCTAGATAGGAAGGTGTAGTCCACGAGATAGTCCCTCAATTTGGATTTATTGTAACCAGACGTTATTGCTAATACAAAGAGTGTTTAAGCGCATTTACGGCTGTGGCAGGTCCTGAAACAGTTTGATATAATTTTGAAAGGTTTCAAGAGTTTGCCTGCCCCTGTAGCCCGGCCCTGGGCCAGGCTTACCTGGTGCTTGTCTGGTCAACCAGTCTGTTACCTCCGGCGGCCCGCTGGTCCATGAGGATCATCCTAGGAAATCTATATCCACTAAAATACTTAACTATCGGTAAGAACTTGATATTCCTAGCAACAAAGATCACATCACTGAATTTCCCGTCATTGGCATTATGCACAGGCAACTCCACGGAAGTTCTCCAAACTTTCTTGAGAAAAAGTGAGAACTCTTCCAAATGAATCATAAAACCTGAAAATGAAACTTAAGTGAATGAAATATATGACATACCAAGAAAGACAACAGTGACACTTTTTTTGAACTGGTAACATTATCGCTTTCCAAATTGCTATACCTCTGCCTTTTCCTTCCAAGAACTTAACTCTTCGTCTCTAAGGTAAGCATGATTCTTTAATTTGAATAGATTGTTTAATCATAGAGCATTCTTTATCCTACACTCTCCGTTGATGACTACCTCCATTAACCCACCGGTAAAGCCTGTAGTGCTATGGTTAATTAAGTTTAAAGCCTATCGACTACACTAGGGTCACTAAGGCTGTATTTTACTTCTTCCAAATACTGTATTAAACTTCACTTATAAAACTATTGACTAACCTGGTTGATTGGATTTAAAGCCTAATGACTACTCTAATTTTAATAAGGCTGCATGTAACCTGTTCGCCACTAATCATCATTACTTTAATCTCTTAAAATGGATTAAAAAAATTATAGGTCCTTTGATCAGCATGCAGTGTTTACTACAGTGTTTACTGAGGTTAGAGTCCTTTGCGTGGAATATAAAATAGCTATTTATTTTAAACTCAGATCAACATTTGTACTGATCGTTCTGTAATATATATATATATATATATATATATATATATTATATATATATATATATATATATATATATATTATATTATATATATATATATATATAATATATATATATATATATTATATATATAATAATATATATATAATATATATATATATATATATATATATATATATATATATATATATATATATATATATATATATATATATATATATAATATATATATGTCGTGCCGAATAGGCAGAACTTGCGATCTTGGCTTAATTAGCAACGCTCATCTTGCCATATAGGACAAGCGAAAATTTGTGTATGCAATAATTTCGCCAAAATCATTCTGAACCTAACGAAAAAAATATATTTCACTGTGTTTGTTTAGTATTAAATTACTGTAAACAAATCTAAAATATATTTAGTTGGGTTAGGCTAAAATAAATTGTTCTTGTTATAATAAGGTTAGGTAAGTTTTCTAAGTTCCTTTTGGTGCAAAATTATAAATTTTTTACATTAACATTAATGAAAAAAATATATCTTTAAACGTATAAGAGAAAATTTCAGAAAGGACTTAATTTTAAATGAGTTCTTGCTAATTGACCAGTTTTACATATTCGGCACGACATATATATATATATATATATATATATATATATATATATATATATTTTATTTATATAATAAAATTGCCCAAACTGGTTTATACACCTAAATAACTGTGAGGTGTCCTTACATTGAACTTGGCACACTAATATACTGAACTGAATTCCGAATATTTCCCTCCGATATTTATATTAGTGGTGATACAAATGTGTTGGTGTTGCAGTATTCCCACCACTGCTGCAGAAGCCTCCTATTATACCTCTGCCCATCGTTCCACCGGCCAGCGAGTTTGTATGTGGCATCAAGGGACCTTCCTTCAACCAGGGATCTCGCAATGTGAGTGTCTTCCTTTCATAAACGCTTTCTCAGACCAGCTACCTTGTTCAGTTCACAAATAAATGTTTTGTCACCCACTGTTTTAGGTGGCATCTTGGAGGGAGGTGGTTTGAATACTTTTGTGGAAAATATACTGTATATTTTCCAAAAATACAGTGTATTTTGTGTGTAAATTGATGGAATACATTGTAGTCAATAAAAATTAATTTGTAAATAGGAAAATGAACCAGCGACGGTGGGTTAGCGTCACTGGGGGAGACGCCATTGTTTTGAATGTGGTACAAGCACGTTAGTGAAATGTGCATAAATTTTCGTTCACTCTAGGGGTTATATTGGTCTTAAAACCTCTCAAATAGTAGCCGAAATTGTTGGATTTGCAGTCCTACATTATCGGAACCCCAGCTAAGTCATGTCTATTTTGTGTTGAAATTGTGGCCAGTATTTTCTTCATAAATTTAGGAAAGGGTTTGAGATGACACACCATAATCTCCAGACTAATTGGTGAGTCTTATTATTATAAAATCTCCTTCAATGTATATGTATTCACATTTTAAATTTGATATACAGTCCACATATTTATATTAATGTTTTTTACCAGAATTCCTGGTGATGTATATTTCATTTGAAATTAATATAGGTCCAGAGTTACTTGTGGAGAGAGAGATTATCGCAGGTATCGAAGGAGGACATTTTTTGCAACCTAAGTGTCCTAAAATTCCTACTTGTCTCTGTAACCTTGATAAAGAATAATTATCTTTGTTACCATTTACTGGTATGTATCTTATGAGTTACATCCAAGTAAATTTAATTTTCCACAACTTTAGGTCGGACTGGACTCTGAAAAGAACTGAGGTAGGACAATGGATCTTAAATATACCTGGAGTATATCTGGTATAAATTAAATTTTGTAAAATACTATACATCTTTCAGCCATCCAGTCCCAGACGCCTTGAATTTTTGGATGCCTTGGAGCCTGAAAGCTCGAGACGCAAAGGTGGACATCGCAGACCAGTTGACAGTACACGCAAAAGAGAACATGATGGTCACCGACCTAATAGGCGCAGACCTGGGTTTTCAAATAACAGTCCTCTTGAAGATCAGCTGAGTGAAAGACAAAACGCTGCTGTGAACTCTTCAGAGGTTAATTCTTCGGGAACCGGAGTTATCAACACCAGAGCCTGGGGTGGGCCTGACCTCTCTGACACACTCTTCGCTCATTGTAAGTTTTTTTTTTTTCAGTGTGAACAGATAAATCCCACATGAATGAAACTTTAAATACAGAGTAGAGAAGATCGGAGACTTTCATCAGATGTTTCTGAGATCAAATATTCTTAAAGAATATGTAAGTCACAATATTGTGAGCGGAACAATATGAGGCGTTAAGTATGGATCATGTATAGACCCATCCTGGACCATATGAATCACAGTTGTAAGTTTATAATGGCCCAGGACATACCGATACGTCATCTGAAATTTCCTCTTCAAAGTGCCCGTTAATTGTGAATATAGATAATTTCTATTCCGTATTTTTTTTCTATGTGAGATTTATCTGTTTATTGATCTGTGTTTGACACTCGTTTCTTCCAGAACGTTTTTGTGTTTGTTTTCTCAATTAAATATTAACTTGTCAGCTTGCGTATGTAACTGAAGCTATAAGAAAGAAGAAAACATAAATCTTACACACTTGATTTCCAATTTATATAGGGATTTCTCCAACAGAATTTTCTTCCATGGTCGATGATGTGATTTTTTATTTATTTTTGTCACCAAACAGATGCAGGAGACCGTAGCATCTTCTCCAACCGTATCACATATGGTCAGGTAGCTGGGCTTCACGAGTTTCCATGGCTGGTGGCCATGACAATCAATGGAAGGTTCCACTGTGGCGCTTCTCTCATTGGTGACTACTGGATCCTCACAGCAGCTCACTGTGTCAATTCGTAAGTACTTTTTATTATTATTGTTGTATTTATATTTCAAAGTATCCATAATACACCTCACATACAAACAGCTAGTCAATACACTGTTTTGTGTCGACTTCATCTTCAACTGAGGTTGTCGGGTGTGGATTCAACTGTGGCAAGAGGTTTGCCTCTGTATACTCAGTAGTGAGTGGACTTAATATTTACTAAGCTATGTGAACACAACCAATGCAAGGTTTGAGTGGCTCTTGTTTGCTTTGTTAGTGTCTATACATTATTGTATGGACTCAGTTTTCATTAGATGGTTTCAGCACACTTAAGCGCTTTGTGAACCTGGGGGTCATGTGATAGTTAAACACATTTCTACTTGTGTGAGTCTTAAGATTTAGTAAAATTTATCTTATGATTAGTCCAGCGTTGGTCTTAGCATGGGCATCCACTGTGTGATTAGCTTAACACTTGGGACACAGATTGAAAGACTTGTAAGCAAGCATTACTTCTATGGAAAATTTTCTAGGGTGATTACCTTTATGTACCTCAACATTACGTGCATACAAGTAAACTCATTGGGAGACAACCATATTGTTTACCGTAGTCACCCCATGTAAACATGTGAGAAAACTTAACCACCCCTGGTCACGGCAGGTGGTTCCTTCGACCTCACAATCTTATCCATATCTATCCGAGACTAGTATGGATTGGATAGCACCCACAAGTACGGTGCTACTAATTAATTGTGGACTGTATAGATTATATTAGTGTAACTGAATGAAGGGGGGGGGGGGTAGGTTACACATGGATATATCCATCAAGGAAAAACACTTGTACATAATCTCACCACTTACCAGATATTCTCTGGTGGTCACTTGATGTAGCTGGATCACTCATAACCTATCCAATTACAACATACCTAACTGGCCAGTATCAGTCTGCTATAACTAGAAGGGTTACTTAACTGTGGGTGATTGATACTCCTTATTTCCTCCATTCACCATCTCATTTCGATGTCCTGCTACACCGACATGGTTCTTATTCCAGCAGGACGAGGTATCCGTCGGTTTGTCCCGGTTTAGAAGTCGTGACTCCATAAAGCCTTCACTATCCTCGGGACAGGAACAACGAGGTAAACATGTGCACACACTCTGGGAATGGCAGTTCAAATCGCTTCAACGATTCCTTAACTTAGTGTTATTATCATGTTTTCCCATTAGATTTAAAAGAGGGTTTTTAATGTCTCAAAAATTTATTTTTAAAACCATTGGAGGCCACTCCATTAAGATTTGGAGATGATTGATGATTTAAATAACGGATTTTTTTCCCCCGGGGGACACAGCCATGGCGACGCGCCAGTCCCCCCCCAGTCCTACCTTTTAATTACTCATTTAAAACCCCTTTTTTACAGCTGGGGTCAATAAAAATTTCCCTAAACTCTTAACTAGGGGCAGTCACGACATTTCCTATTATGAAGTGAGGCCTATTTTTAATTTTGGGCCCGCCTTTGAACGCCAAATTTCCTGGCCCCCATGTTTCACACCCTTTAAAACCCATTCAAAAACTGCCCTCCCCCATCCCCGAGTCGACCTCTACCCCGACCCCGCGCATGCGAAAAGGGAAAATTTCTTGGTTTACCCTATTTTCAAATACATTTTTGCCCCCAATTTTCGACACATTAAAAACCCTATTAGGCACATAGCTTCAAAAAATTAAAAATTTTCCCCCAATGGGGCCCGGGCGGAGGCCCGTTGTTAGAGGGAATTTTTAAAATTTAATTGGAGTAAAATTTTTCCCCATCTTAATTGCCACCTGGTTGGGGAAAACCCCCCCAACTTTGGTATTTAAATAATAAACCATTAATTCCCCCCAAACCTTTTAAACCTCAGGTAGGGCTCACCCAAAAGCACACTCAAGCCCCCTGTTTTTGGGTATTAAAAAATTTTCCCCTATTTTGTAAGGTGTGACACAAAACCCTTGCTCTCGGGGTTTAATTTTTTTGGGCCCATGGGGGAAAATTATGAGACTTTAAAAATTTAAAAAGTTCTTTCCCACGTCAGCCCCAGCACATTACTGAAATGGGGCACTTCAACCCCAAGGGGCCTCCAAATTTTTGACCCCTAAAAAAAATGGACAAATTTAATGTTCCATTCTCTCAGGGGCATAACCCTATGCCCCCTGGGTTAATTTATTGGGTTTAAGGGAATTTATGGGGACTTTAAACAATAACAAGTCTCTTCAGTGCCCCAAGTCAGCCCCGCATTTATGCATTTTTCATTAACCCCTTCACTTTCCCTATTATTTCCCTTTCAGTTGACGTCCCCCCGGGAAAAATTGTCCACATAAGATTATTTCCCCCATTTACTTCGCTAGGGGACCCCCTGGCCCTTTTTGGGTGTGCTTTACATCGCCTGAAGAAAGGAAAAATTTTAAATTTTTAACTTTTTATTAATTATTTTTAAAAAAAAAAAAAGCGGGTCAAAAAATTTGGTTGTCTTGCCAGTTCGCAGAGGGGGCCCTTTTTAACTGCCCCATACCCACCTAAAATTTAGTAGGTTATTCTGGCGGTGGTTTCCCCGGGAAGTCGCCCCCAGTAATGTCCAATTCACATTTAAATCCTTCAGGGATTGTTCCTGAGTAATGGAATCATTTGGACTTTCCTCATTTATATTAATCCCCTTTCTGTCCAACTCCCACAAATTAGGGTTTGGTTTTAAATCATTCTCGATGAGAACTTGTACTGGGTTTACCCTTTTTTGAGTAAGGGCCCGTGACTTTTATTCACTACTTCCCCTTTGCATTTTTACTGGCGGTAGTCTGCCCTATTTACTTTGGCCCCTACCAGTGTTGAGGAGTGGGGGCACGCTTTGGGTTTTTGGGTTTATGCCCCTTTTTCCTGAAATTTTTTTTTAATCCAAAAACCGGCCCAAGGGTACCTCCCGCTAGGCCCTTTATTTTTGCTTTTTCTGCAACCTTTTTATCAGTCACTGTAGTGTCAGGGGTTTTTTAAAATTATCATTTTTGTCATGGTTCCCCTTATTATAAGAATTTCCCTACAAAACCCTTTTTCAATAATATGGTGATTCCTTGTTGATTTTATAGCAAATGTTCAATTTAGTATGAAATCCTTTACTTTTTGATTGCCTAGGGATTGATAAATTTTGTCAAGTTTTTTTCTTCTTTCCATTTAATTTTTCCCATTGGGAAATTTTTTTCCCTTTTCAAAATTTTTAAATGAAATGAGTAAACCCCGGCCGAAAAAGACGTCTCTTTTTCCCTTTCTGACCCCTTATTAAATGGGTTACCCCTTTTGAGGTACTTATTCCCCTTTTCCCCTTTTTGTGGGGAAACCCCCTATTAGATTCCCGTCACTTGATATGTGCCCTTTTTTTCTTTAAATTTTGATTATTACCTTGGGGTTTTTTTTCCCTTTTGGGGGTTGACAGATACTTCAGAGTCATTATGTGTTATATCCTTTGAATGTTTTGGGTGACTGGTTGCAATTGAACCAAAAAATTTTTCCCCACCCAGTTGGGTTTTCCCAGACCGTCTCTGGAAAGGGTTTTTGGGCCCCAAAAACCCCCCTTTTTCATTAATAGGGGTTGGGGCAATTTTCCTGGTTCCCCCCTTTAATTTATTCAAAGCCCTTTCTTTTTTAAAACAGTTTTTCTTCCAATTCGTTAAAGTTGATTAAAATTAAAAATTTTTATTTCCATTCCTTTTGCACAATTCTCCAGCAGACTCTTTCCCCAGGGCTTTTTAAAAACCAAAATTTTTACCAATAAAAATTTCTCTCTAAAGTCTTTAAAACATCTAAAATATAACTTTAATTTTAGGGGTTTACGTTCTTTTATTCATTTTAAAACAAATGGGCCCTTGGGCAATGGGGTTTTAAAGGGCCCGTTTTTGTGCTTTCATTGCTTAAAATTTAGGAAATTGTCAGCCCCATTAACTCCATAGATCCAGTCCCTGGTTAGAGAATTTATTTTAAACATGTTATAAACCCTTTAAATAGACGCCTTATGAGAAATTCTTGCACTTTTCTCTTGTTTAAATTTGCCCCACATGTGTAGCAAATTTAATTGGGCTAATTATTATCCCCCACCGATCCCATTAAAAATTGGGGTACCCCATACCCCCTTTTCAATCAGTTTCTTATTAAGTAATTAATTTTAAATTTTTTTTTCAAGATTGCCCTCGGTTGAAGGGCCAGTGGGCCCGATAGGAAAATTTTTTGGGTGATTTCCCTTTTGTACCCCCAAAAATTACATGCATACAAGGGAAATCTTGGGAGGGCAACCTTTTTTGTATAGTTCACCCCGGTTTTAGGGCATGTGGAGAAAACTTAAAACCCCCCCTGGTCACCCGGCAGGTGGTTTCCCTTTTAAATTAAAAATTTAAACCAAATCTATCCGAGACCAGTATGGATTGGATAGCACCACAAGTACAGTGCCCACTTAATTTAAATTTTGGACTGTATAGATTATATTAGTGTAATGAATTTAAGGGGGGGGTAGGGTTTAAATGGAATTTTCCATTCAAGGAAAAAACTTGTACAAAAAATCTCACCCCTTACCAGAATTCTCTGGTGGTCACTTGATGTAGTGGAAAACTCAACCCTATCCCTTTTCAACTAAACCTTAAAATGGCAAAATCGTTGCTATAATAGAAGGGTTTCTTTAAAATGTGGGGGATTTTATACCCTTTTTTTCCTTTAAATTTACCATCTCATTTCGAAGGGCCGTTTAAACCGGAACCCCGGGTTTTTATTCCAGCAGGGAAGGGGATCGTTTGGGTTTTTTTCCCCGGGTTTTGAAGTCGTGAATCCCTAAAGCCTGATATCCCCGGGACAGGAACAACGAGGAAAAAATGTGCCCCCAAATCTGGGAATGGGGGTTCTTTTCGCTTCAAAAATTCCTTTTTATTAAAATTTTTTTATTATAATCCAAAAAAAAGCGCTTAAACCACCCAAGGGAAAAAAGGGTTCCTTTAAATTAGGTTTTTTTCACTGATTACTTACGATTTACAAGACGTTTAATTCCAAAATTTTATACCATTGGGGCCCACCCCATTAAGTTTGGGACCGATGAGTGATGATTAATCAGGTTTTTTCCCCCCGGGCCCCGGCCATGGCGACGGCCAGTCCCCCGGCCCTCCCATTATTATCTTTTACCACCTTTTTTACAGCGGTGGTAAATACTTTCCCCTCATTTTTCACCAGGGACAGTCACGACATTCCTATTTAAAAGTAGGCTTTTAAATCCTTGGCCGCCGTGAACCCCAAATTCTTGGCCCCATGTTTACAGCCTTTTAAAACCCCATTCAAACACTGCCCCTTCCCCCCCCAATCGACTCTACCCCGCACATCCGCTGCGAAAAGGGAACTCTTGGTTCTACCCTATTTTAAAATACATTTTTGACCCCATATCGAAAAATTAAAAACATTTTGGCACTATAGCTTGGGAAATTTAAATATTTTCCACAATTCAGTTATATTCGTACTGTGACTATGCTTCTCATGAAACTAAATAATTTGAAACATTGTCTATATTCTTAAAAAAAATTTTTTTAATGAATTTTTTTTGTTTTGTCATATCCCTGGTTTTGGTGAAGTAAATGAGTTTTGTTTTGCTTGAGATGTTTGAAAACAAAAACATGCTTGGGAAACCTGTGAGATGTTTTTAAAACAAAGAACATGCTTGGAACTGTGAGGTTTGAATACAAAGAAAATGCTTGGGAAGGGCCCTGTGAGTGTTTGAAAACAAAAAACATGCTTGGGAAGCAGAGACAAGAGTTCTGAGTGGTGTAAAAAGGGGGCTGGGGGGTAGACGGGGTTATAGTGTATTAATTTGGAGAAATTAAACCCACAATTGTTAAGTACAAAGCACAAAGGAATAATGTGACATTTTATTTTTGGGAAAAGTTTCGCTTCCCGGAGCTTTAAGGCTTGATACAGCTCCAGGAGAGCGAAATGTCGCCACAAAAAATGTCACTTAGTTGATTTTTGTCCCTTTTACTTAAAGAGGGTTATATTTTTTATGAAAACAGGTGAGTGAATGTGGTGAGAAGGGGTTGTGTTAAGTGTTAAAGGGTGTTTAGGGTTTTGACTCGCGGGAAAAAATATTTTTTCGAGATTGTAAATGTGGAAGAATAATTTAGGTTAGTAGAAGTGAATTTCCCGAATAAATGTAAAAAGGGACCTTTGGGGTAGGAGTTAAAAAAGGTTGGTAATAAAAGTAATGAAAAAGTTTGGTTAAAAAAAATGGACTGTCTTAAAGTATGATAAAGTACTTACAGACTTCTAACTTTTGTGTGGGGTATTGTAAAAAATCAAAAATGGAACTTTTAGGAAGTGAGCTAGGGTCGTCTCTCCCGGCTGGGCCGTGAACAAAAAGTCTTTGCAGTAACAACGGTAGGACGTTATGTGAATATTAAAAAAGTATAAAATATCGACAGGTTGGTAGGTAAGACACACGTACAACAGTTAGGTATCTTTATTCCGAAACTTTTCGCCTACACAGTAGGCTTCTTCAGTCTAGTACAGAAAGTGGGTGGAGATGTGAAGATGTAATCAGTCCATCACCCTTAAAGACGTAGTTTTGAGGTGGTCAGTCCCTCAGTCTGGAGAAGAGTATTTGTTCCATAGTCTAGTATTGTTTCAGACTATGGAACAAAACTCTTCTCCAGGCTGAGGGACTAACCACCTCAAAACTACGTCTTTAAGGGTGATGGACTGATTACATCGTCTTCACATCTTACTGCTTCTACCCACTTTTCTGTACTCGACTGAAGAAGCCTGCTGTGTAGGCGAAACGTTTCAGAATAAAGATACCTAACTGTTGCACACGTGTCTTACCTACCAGGGCTTTATGTATTAAATTAATCGTATTCTCATAATACGTAACAATGTCTTCACTGACCGACAATTAAAAATTGACTGTACCCATTATGTACCTCTATAATCTTTTGACTACCGCCCACAGGATGGGTATGGGACCGCCATCCATCCTGTGGGTGGCAGTCAAAAGGCTACTGAGGCTCATAATAGATCTCCCACCCTAATCTTGCCACCCTCAACACCATTGTTAACGAGGAGCTGCTCAAAATATCGACTTTGATGACAGCCAATAAACTTACACTTAACACTGGCAAAACCTACTATATTATGTTTGGTAGCAGAGCAGGTGTTGCGCAACTTAACATTAAGATCGACAACACACTAATTGCCAGACATAATGAGGGCAAATTCCTTGGCCTATACCTCGACAACAACCTAAATTTCAGCACCCATATCCAACACATAACAAAAAAAGTATCCAAAACGGTGGGGATCCTCTCCAAGATATGATACTACGTACCGCAAACTACCCTTCTCACACTATACCATTCACTTATATATCCATACCTCACCTATGCTATCTGTGCTTGGGGTTCAACTGCAGCAACACACCTAAAGCCAATAATAACCCAACAAAAAGCCGCAGTAAGAATAATCACTAAACCCCATCCCTGGCAACACCCCCCCACTCTTCATAGATCTAAATTTACTCCCTGTTCAGAACATCCACACTTACTACTGTGCAATCTATATCTACAGGACCTTAAATTCCAATATTAACCTTGACCTAAAACGCTTTCTTGGTAGTTGTGAGAGGATCCACAGCCATAACACCAGACACAAACATCTCTATGACATTCCCCGTGTTCGACTAAACTTTTACAAAAATTCAATGTATTTCAAAGGACCTAAAATCTGGAACACCCTACCTGAAAACTCTAGAACTGCAGACACATTCATCACTTTCAAAACTACAGTTAAAAAAACATCTTATCTCCCTGATCCACCCCGACAACTAACTACATGATAACCACCTGGTGGTTCACAATTACACTCACTCACCCACTGACTATAAACCCAGAAATACTAATCTTAATCTTAAAATAATAAATCCTAACTAGTCATAAGTTTGCCTATGATACTCCAATATAGACACCTTGTATTGTGCCAAAACAAAAACATTTACATTGCTAAACTCACAAATTATGATGTAGTCACTTAGCCTTAATACCATAATCTGTAAGGATTTAATGTTAAGAATTAATCTAAGTCTGCTCGAAATGCATAGCCATGCTAGGTGTCCTAGTGGCCCCCTCTGTAATTAGTATTTTATAACATGTAAACCACACAATACCCAAAACCTGTAAACCCCACATTGTAACCCTTATAGAGAATAAACTTGAATTGAATTGAATTGAACAATTTAGCTTCCATTGCCCAGTTGTGGGTTGTGAATTGTTCCGGCCACGGTACTCTGACTTTGTTCTTCACGAGAACCTAATCCAATTCCTTTTCTCCTTAGGTACACCAGTAACCCCAGTGCCATCAGCCTGTCTCTTGGGGACTGGGACCTGTCCACTGAAAACGATGGGCCGAGTGTATCAGCAAAGATCTCTAAGATCACAGTGCACCCCAGTTACTCTCGCAGTACCCTGCAGAACGACTTGGCTGTCGCCAAACTTTCCTCTAAGATAAACTACTCGGAAGACATAAAACCCATTTGTCTGCCCTCTAACAGTGAGTGCTAACATTTTTACCCATCAGTTTTTTTTCCACTTTTCATTTTTATTTGCTGAATTATTATTATTATCATTATTACATTTACGACAAGTATGTAAACCCGCATGGGTGAAAGTGTTACTTGCACAAATTCCATAGGTGAGATAGGGGTAAATGAGTGAGTGATATAGGGCCAGGAGGGCTGACTGTGGAACATAGTACCGTATCTTCGATAGTATGCCTACGGTCTTGGAATTTTTTTTGGAAATTTGTTGTATATGTGTTTGAAATTTGAGTCTATTATCAAGGTGGATTCCTAAGAATTTTCCCTATGTGAGCTTTGTGATAGGTGAACCATTTATCATTATGTTAAGTGTGACATCTGTAGTTGTTTCCAAACTGAATGAAGTAGGTTTTGTCAATGTTGAGAGTAAGTTTGTTAGTCAATTCGGTATTTACAGTATTGACTAGCATGACTGGGCTTGGGTGAGAGAAGACGTATGTAGTGTCATCTGCAAATAGTGTGGGTTTGAGTAGTTGCGATGCATTTGGTAGGTCGTTTATGTAAATGAGAAAGAGAAGAGGGCCCAGGACACTTCCCTGTGGGACACCAACTGTAATTGACTGTGTGGAAGAGTTTGCTCCATTTGTGTACACATATTGGCTTCTGTTGCTGAGGTATGACTTTAGGTAGTTGAAGGATTGCCCTCTTATACCATAGTGTGACAATTTTATGTGGAGCAAATCATGGTCATCTGTATCAAAATCTTTATGTAAATCAATGAAAATCCCCAGGGGGACTTCTTTTTTCTCGACTGCAGTGTATATTTGTGTAAGCATGTGTATAATAGCATCATTCATATTTTTATTAGGTCTGAACCCAAACTGACGGGTTGAGTACGTTGTGGGAGATAAGGTAGGAATAGATTCGCTTATGAATTAATTTTTCAAAGATTGTAGAGAGAGGGTGTAAGTTGGATATTGGTCTATAGTTATTCAAGTCTGTTTGATCTCCTCCTTTATGTATCGGGGTGACCCTTGCTGTAGGGAAGGTAGAGGATTCAATGGATTTGTTGAAGAGTGTTGTAATGATTGGTGATAGCACTTGTGACGCTTTTTTGTATATAAAGGGTGGTAAGGTATTTAAATCTTCTGTCTTTTTTTTAGTGTGTTGATAATAAGGGAGACTTCTGTTGGGTTAGTCGGAGCTAGGAACAATGTGTTCAGGTAGTTGCCAATGAAGTAGTCATTGGGTGGGGTATCTGAGCTTGGGATTTTATCGGCAAGCTTTTTTTCTATAGTGAAGAAATTATTGAGTCTGTTTGCTGTTTCAGTTGGTGGGAGTTGGGGTTCATCTGGTTTTGTTAGTTCAATTGTGCTATTTCCTGATATCTTTTTTGTTCCTAGAATTTCTGTTAGGGTTTTCCAGGTCTTTTTTATATCACCTTTTAAGTTGGATAATCTATTCTCATAATACAGTTTTTAGCCCTTCTTATCAGGCTGGTTAGGATTGACGAGTAACGTTTTGTTTGGTCTCTGGTTATGTGACCCATTCTGTACTGTTTTTCGTATAGGTGCTTTGTATTTATGGATTTGAGGATGTTGGGTGTTAGCCAGGGACTGTTCAATCTGTTAGCTGTGATCTGTTTAGATTTTTTAGGGCAGTGCTTGTTATAGAGGTATTGGTTCTTTTTAGAAAATTAATACATTCCTCAATATCTGTATAGATTTCTAGCTCAGTGTGCCAGTCAATGTTTGTCACTGCTGCTGTGAAGTTATTAATTGCTGCCTCATTATGAAGTCTGAAAGTGACTTTAGTAGTGTCTTGGGGTAATTTACCTAGATTAGTTATGAGAAAGGTAGGGTAGTGGTCTGTGGTATTATCTGTGATTATGCCTGATTTTAAAGGGGATATTGTGTTGATCCAGATGTGGTCTAGCAGGGAAACACTAGTCTGTAATTCTTGTAGGTTTTGTTACTGTTGGTAGCAACAGTTACTCATAGTGTTTGTGAATTCAGTAACGTGTGGGTCCTGGTCTTGCAGGAGATTTATATTGAAGTCACCTGTGAGTAGTAAGTGATGTTTGTTCATGTGTACATCAGTTATACTAACTAGGTTTTCACTAAAACAGTTAATGTTTGACTGTGGTATGTTCAGTAAGATTTTATTTGAAAAGAGATGTGTGAGTTGTTTAAAATTACAGTGTGATGTTATTTTTAGATCAGACTTGTGTTGACAGTGTAAGAAATGGAGATATTATCTTATTATTAATATTGTATTGTAGGCCAATATGCCAGACAGTGTTGGTGAGTTTCATTTTTGGATATGTATTTCATATGAGTATTTATATTCAGTTTCTTTTAAGTGTGATATGAAAAAAATGACTTAACTTCTTTTGTACAAGAGTGTCATTCTAAGGTTTATTTTTGGTTTATCATCTAAGCTGTTAATTTAGTTTGATATCTTTACTGTCTACACTATACCCATCCTGTGGCAGTAGTCAAAACATTACAGAGGCACATAATGCAAATGTGGAATCGATATCCGCACGGGCAAAACGTTGAGCATGTTTTCTTACACCTGCTCCCACTTAACCCAGAAATAAGTAGGTACCGGAGTGTTAGTCGACTGGTGTGGGCCGCATCCTGGGGGACAAGATTGAAAGACCCCACTTGAGATAAGACACACTGTGTTTATTGAGTTATCTTGGGTGGCTAACCCTCTAGGTTAATAATCCAAACACAGTTTTGCAGCAATAACCATTACAGGTCTAGTTTATGTGTTTTAATAATATTAATATTAGGGTTGTTGAGGTGGTTCGGACATGTAGAGAGAATGGAGCGAAACAGAGTGACTTCAAGAGTGTATCAGTCTGTAGTGGAAGGAAGGCGGGGTAGGGGTCGGCCTAGGAAAGGTTGGAGGGAGGGGGTAAATGAGGTTTTGTGTGCGAGGGGCTTGGACTTCCAGCAGGCATGCGTGAGCGTGTTTGATAGGATTACCTGGATTACCTGGAGAGAGTTTCGGGGGTCAACGCCCCCGCGGCCCGGTCTGTGACCAGGCCTCCTGGTGGGATTCAGCGCCTGATCAACCAGGCTATTGTGCTGGCGGTGCACGCAAACCAAACGTACGAGCCACAGCCCGGCTGATCAGGAACTGACTTTAGGTGCTTGTCCAGTGCCAGCTTGAAGACTGCCAGGGGTCTGTTGGTAATCCCCCTTATGTGTGCTGGGAGGCAGTTGAACAGTCTCGGGCCCCTGACACTTATTGTATGGTCTCTTAACGTGCTAGTGACACCCCTGCTTTTCATTGGGGGGATGGTGCATCGTCTGCCAAGTCTTTTGCTTTCGTAGTGAGTGATTTTCGTGTGCAAGTTCGGTACTAGTCCCTCTAGGATAGGAGTGAATGGAGACAAATGGTTTTTAATACTTGACGTTCTGTTGGAGTGTGAGCAAAGTAACATTTATGAAGGGGTTCAGGGAAACTGGCAGGCTGGACTTGAGTCCTGGAGATGGGAAGTACAGTGTCTGCACTCTGAAGGAGGGGTGTTAATGTTGCAGTTTAAAAACTGTAGTGTAAAGCACCCTTCTGGCAAGACAGTGATGGAGTGAATGATGGTGAAAATTTTTCTTTTTCGGGCCACCCTGCCTTGGTGGGAATCGGCCAGTGTGATAATAATAAATAAAATAATTATAATAATACTGGTAAAGGAATTTGTGCATATGCTGCACTTGCCATTGTATTGGATAGGCGGCAAATGATATATTTAAAATATATGTTCTATATTATTATGTAACCAAATATTTATATCATTGTTTGGAACAGACAATGATTAGGGTATGCAGGCCCTTTTTGTTGGGCA